TCTGCCTAACTTCTTTTGCCCTTGGCCGGCTGTCGCAGGGCCTTGGACGTCATGTTAGACGACTCTACATCTTCTGATGAAAAGAGTCAGTCTGGTTTCCTTCAGAGGGAAGGCTCAACTTTCACTCTTGGAATTGTGCCTGCCCTCAGTTGATCCCACAACCTTTATCTGTTCAGACATGAGTCCTTCCTTTACAACATTCAAAGAAGTGGTTCATTCAGAGGGAAAAGGAAAGAAAACTTTACGCCATGAAGAAGCTGATAAGACCCTTGGCCACAGGTAGGGCGCTGTCCCAGGCCTGCGTAGGGCAGAGCCGAGCTGGGCTCTCCTGGGTGTCCTATAGCTCTGCGTTTACTCAGAGGCAAGACTAGGGCTCTTCAAGTTTAATTAAAAACAGGATGTCCCTGCTGGGCCTCTCACTGACATTGCTAAAAATAAAGTAGGGAAGTAGCCTGGCTCTTTGTGGTTTAATCCCATTAAATTTGAGGGGGAAAACTGGAGCTAATAAAAGACCTGATTTGTTTCAGATCACTGTCTTGGGTTGAGTCTTTCTTTCCTTGTGTCACGGAGTCCTAGATTTTGAAGTTCTAATACAATCAGTGCTGGGCTCTTGATGCCGTGGGAAGGGAGCAAAGGGACAGACAATTCCCCAAATGTGGTTTTGAAGGCTGTCACCCATTTACTCACTCTTGGGACCACTGGGACTCATCACCTCAGCCTTTGCTCACTGCTCAGTCTCACCCACGTCATAGACTTGGTTTTGTGAATAACTCACTAATCCTTTATCTGTGAGTGGATGCACATAAAAAAAAAAAATCTGGTCTGAGTGCTATGAAAGAGCCACCTGGAAATGTGAGCCTCTTAAATGAGCCTTCAGTTCCTCCCCAACCCCACAATGTACTGAGACATTGCATCTCTTACCCCATTCCAGAAGCCCTGTTTGCAAATACACTCATGTAAGGGTGTCCTGACATTCTTCATTTTTGTTTTGTTTTGTTTTGATTTTTGTTTTTTTGTGTGTTATCAATTCTCTGTTATAACCCACTACTTTAGCCTAATAGCTAAAGACTAAAACTCTTAAAAGACGTTTTGTTGAGAACGAGAGCCTCATTTTCCACCACGTATTCATTGCTTGGTCTTTCATTCATTTGTTCAACCAAGAATATTAAGGGAATAATCTCTAGATTATTACACAGTTGCTTTCCCATCAGAATCCCAAGAAGGACAATTTCATGAACCCCAACTCTTAGAGACTTAGAGTTCCAACAGGTCCAGAACAATGGTTTTGACTCGCCACCATGGGACCCAGAGGTAGTCTAGGTGAGGGCTTTTGTAACAATTATTAAGGCCTGACTGGAATCATTATACCCATCTAAGTGGTACTCATAAAAAATGGGGAGCTTTTGGTCTCCAAAATGGAATCTGGCAAACCCTTTGCCAGAGGATGAGTGAGATATAAAATAAGAAAAAGCATGTCAGTCATGTTGTCAATTGAATCCCCACCACCTAGTACATAGCAGACACTCAATAAATAATTGTTGGATAAGTCATGAAGGACCATTTTTAATCCTCTGAACACCCTTACCTGTAAATAGGGGAATAGAGGTAGATTTGGGAAGTGGGTATAAATAGGGAAATCAAATTTATTATCACTTCCATCTTTTAGTTGCTCGTTGGAGAAATCCGACTACCTTCACGTGGTCTGTCCCAACCTGCTCCGGAGCCACATCTTGTACCGTAGTCCCCTGCACTCCGTCTCAGCCTTGCAGCCATCCCTCCACCCCAGGGCTCTCCACAGGTGTTTCCCTCTGCCCTGAACCTCTTTAAGCCCTACGCTTCCTCATATCTTTGCTCAACCATCACTCCTCAGGGAAGCCTACCCTGACCCGCCTGACAAGGCCCAATTCCCCTACTGCATCATCTCATGAGAGCACACACGCTCCTTCGTAGCACCTTTGTCTGCAAAGGTTTTACATTTATTTATGTGATTATTTTAATAATGTCACTCTGCCTTATTTAACATGAGGGCAGGGATTAGGTCGACCATAATGCATGACATATAGTTGTGGCTCAGTAAATATTTGGTGAATGACTGAGTGAATAGATGAATGGATGACAATGCGGGAGGAAGTAAATTACAAGCAGGGGTTTTCTTAACCTGGGGTCCGTGGGTGGGCTCCTGAATCCACGAGCCCCTGAAGCTGTCTGCAATAGTGAGTGTGTATCCACGAGCACGTTTGCATGGTTTCTAAGGTGAGAGGCCATAGCTTTTGATAGACGAAGAATCTTTAAGGGGTTTCACATGAATATGTTTAATTATATCAAGAAAGGGAGGAGAAAAAGATGGAAAACTGAAAAAATTATAAAAGGATAAGGGGGTAACTTTATAATGAGAAGCAGAATAGAAGAAGATTGAGGGAGAGAAGGCAATGGAGGGAGTTATTCTTAAATGAACTCTCTAAACTTAATGAGCCCAATTCTGTGCAAGACCCTGTGTTAGGCACTATCGGGGTCCGATGAATAGCTAAGTCTGATTGCCACTCTCACATCTAAAAGGATAGAGTGCTGGGTAACCACAATTCAGGATGAGTGGAATGAAATGATCTAAGAGAGGTTTAGAAGGAGCCATTTACTAGCACAGATACGCATAGCAGAAGGAAGATCATGGAAGTCTTCCTGGAGGAGGGTAACATTCCAATCTGCCCTTAACACATGGGTAGGATTTCAAGGAGAGGAGAAGGAGTAGGCGAGCACTCAGATGAGAAGAGGGTGTAAAGAAAGCTGCTGGTCCAGGAAACCAAGGTGTGTTTTGGACAGCTTCTCGGGCTCTTGACAGGCTTTGCAAAGCATCTGAATCAGGAGATGACCCATTGACCTATCATAGACACAAAGCAGGTGGCACCTGGAATTAGCAAGTGAGATGACATTCCTGAGGCCAGAACAGACTCAGGCAAGGAGCAATCCAGCCTCAAAGAAGGTTTAGGATTTGTAATTACAGAGCATCCTTAAGACTTCTGGCAAAAATTAAACATCATTTGCCCATCTTGCTTCTCTCATATCACTTCTGCAATCCTGAAAGGTGTCAGGTCTTGCTCCTTTAAGGAGGTTGTGCTTATTTGATCTGGGGGGATACTGATTTCTAGATACTGTTTTGTTGGGCTTATGAGTACATGAAATACTTAGATTGTGTAAATTTGAAATCCGTGTGAGGGGTGTGTGTGTGTGTTCATCAGTTGGTGCCACTGATTCCTCTTTGACAGCATCTAGACTTATAGAAGAGCTTCCATGTGGGAGCCAAGAAAGCTAATGAGAGTGCTCCAGCTCAAGACATCTCAGCACCTCTTCTTTCCCATTTCTGAGAAGGGCTCTGTCACCATGGCCTTTTCTAGCTCCTCCAAGGAGTCAGGTCTCTCCAACGGCTTGGCACATAGTACTATAACCCCAGCACAGATGGTGGTATAGACCTGGGCTAGAGGGGACTGCAAGTAAGGATCCAGGAGGAAGACGGAGTATGGCTTGCCTCTGCTCTGGAGCACACTTTAGTGAACATTTCTTGGGAAAGCTGACTGTGGCTGAGTTTACACCCATGACACCCATAATCCCAGACAAGGTCATAACTCTGAGCTTGGCCTTCCTCCCAGACAGAATCACTGTGAAGGCAGCTCTGGAGTTCAGTGAGGGATTGGGGTGGATTCAAGACAGACTCACGGAGCCTGGCCTGAGGGGTCCCAGCTCAAGGGTCAGCACACTGGGTGAGTCCAGTTTTCACTCCTATTTTATCAACTGAGATTAGAATATTTATTCCCCTTTCTCCAGAATATTTTAGTGACTTGAAGCAAGGTTGAGCCTAAACAAGACTATGAAGCAGATAAGTTTAGCCTTTAGTGTTGATTTTTGCTCCAATATTTCCCACTTGGAAGCTACTTCCCCTCAGCTGCCTTCCTTTCCCCCCTCCAACTATCCCTCTGCATCTGGAGCTCCAGAACTTTCCAGATTTTTCTATCCACTCTCTGGCAAAAGTCTACTTTTTCTAAAACTCCTTCCCAGGGCTAAAATTCCCAGAGTGAATCTGATGAGCAAAGTCGTGGTCTAGGGATAAAAACAAAGACTTTACATTAGTCTTCCCAAATAAAAACAACATTTGACCACTGAAGGCTTCTAGCCCCTTACTGAATACTATGGGGGCGGGGGGAGGTCCCACTGAGTACACAGGTGCTGGGGGAGATAGTTTCAGTACTGCTTACAAAACTCTTTCAGTAGAACCCTCTTTTGAGCATCACATTTCAGATGTACCCAGTTTATCTCAAGCCTGAGACTGCATAATCATTTAATCCACAGCTCAGATGGCAGATGGTTTTCATCCCAGGGATACCTGGGAACTTGCTGAGAAGGAATGTGAAGCAATTGCCAGATACAAGGGGGAAGAGCATTGGGATGGATTGGTAATGTCTGCCCAGGAGAAAACGAGACATGCACTTGCAGAGTGTCAGGTGTTTATCATCCTTGAGCGACCTAGGTGGAGACCACAGTAGACACCAACTTGTCTCTCTGGCCTAAGGAATGTCATCTACAGCCTTGCTCCTAGAAGTGGGGTCCTCAGAATAGCAGCATCAGCATCACACAGAAGCTTGTTAGAAATGCAGAATCTCAACCCCACCATCCCCTCACCCCACTCTACTCAATCCAATTCCGCATTTTCACAAGATTCCCAGAGGATCCATGTGCACATTAAAGTTTGACGCAAAGAGTCTAGCGGGTCTTCCTGCTGGTTGTCACTCCTGAAGGTTCCCACTGCTGGGGCAAGCTCTGCTGGCCTGGCTTCTCTCACCAGGGACTGCGCACCTGTTTTCTACAACAACAGATCCTCAGGAACAGGGCTGCTCTCTGTGTGAATGGGCACATTCCCTTTACCCCTGTATTTGAGAGGTTTAACGATAGGACTGTCGTGTGCCAAACCAAGCCATGTTTCTGTCTTACCACCATGTTTCTTCTGTCCGTAGGCAATCTATAAGATGGTTTCCTCTGTGATGAAAATGCCTGAAGATGAGTCAACCCCAGAGAAAAGGACAGAGAAGATCTTCCGCCAGATGGACACCAACAGAGATGGTAGGAGGCGGGGGCTGCTTTGCTTTGCTTTTCTCAGAGTGAGGGATGCTGGAAGTAATGGGGGTGTCCAGGGAGGAAAATGCCACTCAAGGACAAGATAGGAGCCATAAGGACCTGGCTCACAGAGTTTTGTGGCTCATCCTGCATGCTCCCTGACAGGGCAAGATGGAGGACCAGGATGGGGACAGGCCTAGGCCACAGCAGGCTGGATCCCTGCAGGCCAGCTAATCAGAAAGCAGGGAGGGCCCGGGTGTTGTTCCACCCAGACCCCAGGAGCTGTCACCCCGGCCTGCCGGGGGTTAGGTGGGCTCTCCCGCACATGCTCTAAGGTGCTGAGCTTCCTGGAGCCAAGGCAGCTCCTTCAGCCCCTGGGGGGAAGGGATTGAGGTGGCTAGTAGGTTCCACACTGAAACTGCAACAAGGGAATGCAGAGCAAAGTTCAAAGGAAGGCTGGATTTCATACTCAAGTATAGAGGATTTTAGATGTTGGGTTGCCAGACAGAATACAGGAGGCCCAATCAACTTTGAATTTTGGACCAACAACAAATGATTTTATCATGTCAGCATGCCCTATGCATTATTCAGGACATGCTTATATGAAAAAATTGTTTGTTGTTTATTTGAAAGTCAAAGTTAGCTGGACGTCCTGTATTTTACTTGCCAAATCTGGCAACCTTATTTAGCTGTGAGACCTGAGTTTAAAGTGCGGAACACAGAGCCTGGTCCATGGAAGTCCTGAGGCCCTGGGGCTCTGGCTGTTACTACCTGCTCACCTGTTCTGCAGGGTGTCCTGGGGAATTTTTGTCAGCAATGTGCAAGTGTACTCGGATGCCCCAAACAGTGCTGGTGGACAGATTGACGCAAGGCTTTGTGGTAGAGCGAGCTTCTCTTTCTCTCCCCTTGCGCTCCGGGTCACCAGTTGCCTGAGAACCTGGGTTTGTGGCGTGCAGGCCAATTTGTTGGCTTTGCTTCCTCCATGAAGGTACCATCACATCCTATTTCCCCTACGCCCTTTGATTCACAGCACATAGTTTGATTGTTTTGTAAAGGTAAACAAACAGGGAATGATTTTAATAGTTAATGAGCTCACAGACGTTGAACTACGTGATATGCTGGAGCTCCAGGGGAGCAAGGTAGGTGTGTGTTGTGCTCCAGGCCCAGCCACGTCCTTAGAATAGGACTACAGGATGGGAGAGATCCACGCGCTGCAGAATAAAACCCTCACTGTGTGTCCATCCTAGGTGAGAAGTAGGGCCTCTCCACTGGGCTCTGCTACAACAGGATCACAGAGCCCTGGTTGGGTCAGCATTCTCAGAATGCATCTCGCTGCTAAAAGCCCTGGGCTTTCCTAAGGGAAAGTCTTGGGTTTAAAAAATATGGGGCTGGGAGCTGTACAGGGAAGGAGAAGGGTCCTTAAGTCTGAGAGTGGTCGGAGGAATCTTAGCCCAACCAGGAGACTTGGTGCTCTAGCTTGGGGCTTTGCTTCTGGACCCCAAGGCCAAGGTCAGCCCCACTGTGTGCAGCAGAGACCTCACCTCTTAGATTCCTTAGATTCCTCTGGGTAGAAGCTCTTTACATCTAACCTCTGGCCTGTGACTGAAGAGAAAATTCTGGGCCCACAGGCAAGTTAGCCCAAGAGTCAACTTGGAAGCACATGGGTAGTTAACCCAAGAGAGCCAGATGTGTTCAGCTGAATGCAGGGTTTGCTCTGCTGCTTCTGGCGGGCAGTTCCCAGAGCCTTCCTTTGGGAGATCCCGAGGTGTTCAAGTGATGGCTCCCATTTCCCTTCCTGTACGCCAGCCTTCTGAACCCAAGAAGTCACCGCTATAACCACTGCCTGAGCTCATAAGAAATGGCCAGGACACAAAGCTTAAAGGGACCCTGCCCTACGTCTTCAAAATAAATGGATAGACAAGTTCCTGCCTTTCTCCTTCTTGCAGATAAAGTGCATCTGGTTAAGCCAGAACTAGGTTTTGGGGAGGGGAAGACATATTTAGACATATTTGTTGGTGTCTCTGAGGTGGGGGTGGTAAGGACTCCAATAGAGAGCACCTCCTCCTGACCGGGTTTGGAATAAGCTGAGAAACAAAAGAGCAAGAGTTAAGGCTGGAGGACTGAGCCTCACTGGAGGGAGCAGCTTGGTGTGAGAGCCGGAGGACACGCGGACACACAGCAGGGAGCAGGGCAGGCACACCACGAGCCTTGGAGGGCAGAGGGGAGCAAGTCCTCTCTGGGGCAAGAGAGGGAAGGAGAGAGAGAAGGAGGACAAAGCTGAATGGGAATGTTCAACAGCTCCTCCCGAGGAGGGACCCTTCTGGAAGCACCAGGAATAGGGGAGAAGCTTTGTCTCCTCCTACAACATGACAGAGGCAACTTCTGGAAGGGAACTCAATACATACTCCAGCTTTTGCAGGAAGGAAAGGGACACCGGTAGGAGTGGGATCCCAGCCAGCCTCGTCTCCCTCCTCCATCCTGTCAGGAGAGGAGGAAAGTGTCCTGATTGATGGGAGGGACCCACTGGCTCACCCCTCTGCCTGTGCACATCCCCCTTTATTCTCCTGACTTCAGGTGGACGTGCAGCCATCCTCACATGTACAAAAGAAGGGGTCCTCCCCAGAGATCTGGGCAGGCCTCTGTGCCCACATGCAGGGGGATGGGCTCTTGCAGCAAACCTAAGTATACCCGAGTGACCTGAAGGAGCTCAGAAGGCTCCCAGTGACCCCATGGGAAACGCCCTGATGCTGTGAGAGCCCAGCTCATTCTCATAAAGGCTCGAGGGCCATTAGTTCTATAAATACTGAGTGAGCCCCCCCAGGGCGCCTGCAGCTGGAAGGGCCACCCACGCCCACGCCAGGGCAGGGCACACAGTGAGCTCTCAGAAGGCAGTGTGCCGTGCTAGGTGCTGGCTTTGTGACTGTGAACAAGACCCTACCCCATGGGTCTCACAGCAGAAAGACACAACGTGGGCTTCACAGCACGTGTGAAATGGTGGGGAGACGGGGAGCGTCGATGCCTAAGATGCAGTGGGAAGATTGTAGGTTCGCCCAGCTGCCACCAGCTGCTCACCCATCCTCTCGCCTTCTAGGAAAACTCTCCCTGGAAGAGTTCATCCGAGGGGCCAAGAGCGACCCGTCCATAGTGCGCCTCCTGCAGTGCGACCCCAGCAGCGCCGGCCAGTTCTGAGCCCTGCACCCCACGAATTGTAGAGCTGCTTGTGTTCCCTTTTGATTTTTCTTTTTAACAATTTTTTTTTGCCAAACAATATTGACGGTGATGCTGTCCCCCGTGCAGTCAGATGCACCTTCCTCCGTGACGCCTTCAGCTTCTTTTGTCGTGGACGCTTCGTGGGAATGCCCAGAGCCCCATCGCGCTTGTGGAGAGCATGGACAGTGCTGTCGTGCACAGACTTTGTGGTGTTCGTTGTTCTGATGATTTTTCATCGTTATTATTATTTTTCTTTTGATTCTAATGTCTCTGTTCTAAAACCGAAGACTGGGGAGGCAAGAGAAGAGAAACCAATCTAGTCCCAGTGATTCTAATTGCAAGCTTCCAGGGGCTTGTTTGAAAAAGACAGCTCCCCAACTGGGTCTGTTGTCACACATGCCCTAGGGGTGACGGCACCAGATGCTGGATTCCCCAAGGACAAGTAACCCTCCAGGGCCAGGCTATTAGAGGGATCTAGGGAATTCCTCCCTGGGGGCCACTCCACCCTCTTCCCCAGCAGGCTGTAGTTTCTAAGCTGTGAACATTTCAAGGTAAATTAATAGAGGAAAAAGATGGCTCAGCTATTTTTTCACAGGTTTACACTAGTTGAGCTAAGATGAGTTTCTTTGAAAATTAAACACAAATGGTAACTTATATTCCAAAACCAGACCCATCTTGTTGCCTATTGTGATTAAAAAAAAAAAAGACTGCTGTATATAAAATATTGGGTATTGCAGACCAAATTGTTTTGCCTTGTTTAAATGAAATGCATGTCTAGTGAGCACTAATACAATCTTATTACAGAAGACTGTTTTTAGTAGCTTATTGTGAAGTAAGCCAGCTATAATGAATGTCTGTGTCTTCTTTTAAAGTCATATCTGTCTTTGCACAAATGCACCAATCAACAGGTATATTTTATATATTCCAGAAAAGTACAAAGTAACCATGACCAGGGCCCAACCTTAATTTGAATGCTTTTCCAGAGCGGTAGTGCCTAGAGAATGAAGCAGAGCGGGTTTCGTGGGATGTACCAGTTGGAGCACCAGAGGTTAATTTATGAGAGATGTGACGCAATGGCTTGCTCTCAGCCTAGCACCTCACTGGTAGTATTAGACTGGAGGCGTGATGTTTTTCTCAGCAGATCAGTATTCTGTATCCCGGAAAAAAAAAAATAGCCTAACTTCTCGGGACTTATCAATGGTTTAATTCATGTGTTTAGTTAGGAAGCCATATCTGGAATGTTGACTTTTCCATGCCCCCAGTGGCCCTTCAAAGAGTCAGAGGTTGGGCAATCACCTGATTCATCGAGAAGAAGTCATGGACAAGTGTGTCTGTGATTTCCAAGGCCCACTGTGGAGAATCCAAGAGTATTTTCTACCACCGTGTTCTTTGAATGTAGATTTCTATTTCTAGAGGTGACAGCACAAGTTTGAGTTGCTCTTTGGTCTGGTGCCCTCATAGACACTCATTTGAACTGAAAGGTAAGAGTAAAACTTGCTAGTCACAGGGAAGTCACACTTTCACAAACAGTAGGCAGGGGGAGCCCCGACACTCCAGGATGTAGATGGGACATCCTGCCCCAAGAGAGAGCAGAGAGGGCCCAGTGAGTGTGTCTGTTGCCAAGCTACTTCCTATAGACGATGAACCTCAGAAAGAAAAACATCAACTATGAGGAAAGTGATGCTGAGCCCATTCTAACCAGCAGATTCCTGTGTATTACTTGAGTCCATTTAAACTGGTAGCAAAAATTGGAATTTGTGTAGTTGACTAAAATGAACCAACTTTGCACGGTAAAATTTTGAGACCTGGACTTGGTAAAATAATCGTAATCTTCCTCTGAGCATCAGTTTCTCAAAGTGGTTCGATACTGAGACTTGCCAAACTCCTCCATGGGCCAAGTGGTCAAATCTGGTTTTGAAAAATAGAGAATTAACCCAAGATGTAGAGTGCAGAGTGGGCGAGGGGATCCAGCACCTCTATCAGTAATGTTCGGGAGGTGCATCTCACTTTCTCCTGCTCCTGATTGAAGACCTAATTCTTCCTTTCAGTCATTTAATGTTTGGGAAAGCCAACCTGGGCTCTGCCTTCAGTCATGACATCTTGTTGAGTCAGACTCATTCTGTTCCTTAGAACCTAGAGCTGGAGTGAGGAGCAGGGAAGAGAGTCTCCAGCTGCTTAGGAAGGAAAACAGAGCCAGACACATGGCTAATGAACACCACCACGCGAGGGGTGTACCAAAATAGTCCTCGTCCTGGCCTGCCATTGATCCTGGCTGTATTTTCTCGAGGGTGGTATTTCTCCTTCTCCTCCTTCCCAGGCAAGCCTTTGTATGTCTAATCCAATGCACTTAAGTTTGGCCAAGGGACTTGGCAGAACCCAGAAGGCTCATTGCCTAAAGGTTTACGTCATTCCTGTGCTGGGCTGTCCATTGTCATTGCTGTGTTGAGGGACTTCTGGAAATGGAGTCCGTTCTGTCTGAAATCAAGCCAGCCTGTGATGTTCAAGGGACTGGAATAAAGTGGCTTACAACTTGAAAGATGACAAAGAGTGGCCGACTGTTCATATCCTTGTTTAGGGTGGGGAAGGGTGCTGTCTCATGCCATTTATATGCCCCAGGGGGCACTTTCCACAAGTGGATTTAACACTATACATAAGGCCCATCATATGGAGTGGCCCCTGTATCAGCTGACTTCGTGTCATTCTAGCTTGCCATTCAAGCATGTTGATTAATATGATTGCCTGGGACATGAAGCTTCCACCCCTAAACTGCTACTCCAGCTGAATCCGTGCCTGAGTGAGCATTTGGGTCCTGATACCGGCCTCCTCCTGGGTATGGTTTCTGCCCTAGAGACATAAGGAACCAGGGTTTGTGAAAGGGAGGCTGGGAGAGGCTGCTGAGCCCAAAGCCCTGTCCAAAAGCATTCTTGGTCAGACTATATATGGACTTCCATACTTCCCACCACTCATGGCCTTCACTTTCTTCTCACATCCTGTCTTTCCCCACAACTGGAGCTGTAAACTCTAGTCCAAACATTAGGCACAACAGCAGGAGAAACCGAGGCAACTTCCTCTTCAGTAGGACATTAATATCCTCCTCTCCCCTCTCTCCCGCTTTAGTCTGGAGAAAAGTCAATAGAGGGGCAGGCCCCAGTGGCATAGTGGTTAAGTTCACACACTCTGCTTTGGCAGCCCGTGTTTGCGGGTTCAGATCCTGGGCATGGACCTACACTACTTGTTAGTCATGCTGTGGCAGCATCCCACATAAAATAGAAGATTGGCACAGATGTTAGCTCAGGACTAATCTTCCTCAAGCAAAAAAGGGAAGACAGGCCACAGGTGTCAGCTCAGGGTGAGTCTTCCTCAGCAAAAAAAAAAAGGTCACTAGAAAAGATGACATGATACAAAGCCCACCCCCTCAAAGCCAATTCAGATCAAGGTGTTCGTTTTTTGTTGCTGTCACTGGCCCTGCCTCCAGCACAGGCCAGTCATGTAGGAGAAAGGGGCTGAGTGTCAGCTAAAGTAGGTGCCTCATGGGCCAACTAGACCTCATGTAGGAGTTGAGTTGGCCTGGAGGGGAGACTTTTTCTACTTCACACAGTTTCTCTCTGTGGACCAGCAATGGCCCTGATACCCATGAGTACTGAGCACGAATAATACCAAGTCATTCATGGCAGTGATGGTGAGAAGATGGCTGGCAGCCTCCAACCTGATCAGGAGCCAGTATTCCTGCATCTGTTGGAAGCCAACCTGGCAACTTCCAGCAAATTTCCAAGCCTGCGGCTCCTATTTTCAGGGCATTGTCCCAACACCTCAACCCAACTGGCTCCCCTCACAGCCTAGTTCAGGCATAGAGGGTACAGCCCAGTTGAGGAGGAGTCCGAGTGTTCTCTCAGTCAAGGTAGGGAGGACATCACAAGAACTGTCTTTGGAAGAAATGCAGACGCTTCATGCATGCCTCTCTTGCCTTTGTCAGGAGAATGCTCAGCACTTTCCTGAAATTTTCTGATTTTTGAGGTGGTTGAAGAAAGGAGAGAAAGAAATAGTGGAGGAAGAGCTCACCTAAAATAGAAAGATTGTTGCAGAATGAGCAGATGTTCAGGCCAAGGGTATAACCAGTGGTATATGCATTTCAAACAGATTTCTGTACACTTGAAGGTTGACTGTGTCTCCAGGACGTAGATAGGCCCTGGGCACTTGCTGCACTTGGGTATAAGTGTGCCATGCATGGTCTCAGACACCCCTGGGGTTGCAAACAATGATCAGTCTAAGAACATTCCACAGGGTAGAGGTCGCCTCCCACGACAGCTCAGAGAGGGCCAGGCCTCAGGGAGGCTTAGTCCCTGACTTCTTTCTCAGCACTTTTCCAGGAGAGGGATGGCATTTTAATAGCTCTCTAAAAGACTGTGAAAATCCTTCAAAATTCTGGTCAGCTTGGCCTGCCGAGCCCTATTAAACACTCACAGCTCTGCTAGCAGTTTACTACACGTGTAGACAAAGACATGGACGGGCTCTCTCTCAAAATTTATCTTTCCAATGCCAGTTTTTAACCATTTTATCAAGCTCACATCGAGTGTTCAATGGCGACTCAACACAGTACCAAGCCCTATAGTCTTGGAAGTGTGTGTATGTTGGGGGGTAGTAGGAGTTATTAGCAAAGAAGACCAAACTCACAGCTCAGCTGGTAAATTCTGTCCAGCACCTTGAAAACAATTACAAAGTAGCTTACATCTACGTCCGATGGCAGAGCAGAAATCAAGTTTCTTCCTGAGTGGTGCATGAGAGGTGTTTGCTACCCAGGGAATGAGTGAGTGACATTTGCCATTAGTGCCCCTTCAACATCCCCTTCTTCTTTTGCTGCTTCTGGCTCATCATGGGCCCCCACTGTGTTTCCTAGAATTCCCCCGTCTCTGAAATTAACCCATGCACTCATTTAGTGGAACTCAGAGAAGTGTAGGGATGAAGGACCCCTGGGAACACAGGGTATATCGTTCTAAGATGGTAGATCAGAAAACTCACTCCGGGTATGTTTCCATGTAAAAGCAAAGCCCCGATGAATCTCTATTGGAGATCGTTTCAGAAGGGGTTGGCTGTGGTGACCCCAAGGTGCCCATTCAGATCTTCTGTTACGAGAACCTGCTGCTGGAAGCACAGCTGATTGACAGGCTCCAGCTGCAAGTTTTGGAGCCACCTCAGTGTTCACTCTTAGGCCACATTCTGCGGGGCTGCTCTAGTCAATGACTGCCCAAGCAAGGGTATTAGAACTGGGCCGTTCTTGCCCCCAGTTGGATTCTTCCCACAGGTGACCTTTGCTGGGGGCCTCTCCATGGGCCTGGCTGAGGCAGTCTGAGGCTCCTCCTGCCCAACCTTCCTTCCCTCTCTCCTTTGGCAGGGGTCAGTCTGCGTGCTCTCCCTGTCTCTTCCTGCTCATTTCCCCTTTATCTTTCACATGAATTCCCCCAATAAATCTCTTGAACATCTAATCCCATCTTGGCTTCCGCTCCTTGGAGGACCTGAACTGACATCGTGCCCATCTCCTTCCCTATTCCCACTGACCCTCAGATACATGGACTCAGACACTTGGGTTGGCGGCTTTCCTGAGTGAGGCTCATGTTTGGCGAGCACTCGTCACATTGTGAAAGGCTGAGGGGCCCTGACAATTGGTCATCCTCACCTACCCAACCAGAGTCCCGGTACAGGGAGGTGGGAGAGGGGGTGGCACACATGGTGAGCAAAGTTCACCAGACAGCAAGATCATAGCCACAGGCCAAAGGAGGGACTGTCTCAGGGAGAACAGCTGCATCATCAGCAGGACTCAAGCCTTTAGGGAATGCCTTCAGAGCCCTCCTGATGCTGTGGAACACAGATCGTGGCAAAAGGCCTTGTGGCCCATTTCTTATCCTATGATTTCTCCAGAAGCCTCCTCAATAAGCACTTCCCCAGCCCACTTGCCCACTGGTCCAGGCATAGAGGCTGCTGGGGATGGCACTGGGGTTGAAATTAGTCAGAGAAATCTTTCTCAAGGCAAATTTTCAGCCAAGATTTGGCAGCTGTGGACATGGATAGACAGAGAGACTGTGAGATGTGGAAGAAAGTAGAAATGCTCCTTGTTTGGAATACAGAGGCTCTCGGGAGATAATCATGGCTATTGGCTGAAGGAGTGCGTAGTCACTGAGGGTACACCAATAAATACTGGGATAATGATTCTAGGTGCTTGCTTTGAGCTGACAGATACTAGCGAGCCTGTGGGTTCCAGGGCAAGGGATTGTCGTGATGAAATTGGAGTTTCAGCCATGTGATTTTAGCCTCTGTGTAGACGTTGATGCAGATGAACTAAGGAACGGGAAAGCTCTTGGCATAACTCAAGTTGGGGTGAGTGAGCCAGGAATGAGGAAGATAGAACTGAACGGACAGAGCCTACTCCCTGCCCTGAGGAACCGGTCAAGAATAACTCCCCTGGTGGCCTGTCATAGTCACACTGAAGGCCTCTTGACTTCTTCAGCCGTCTTCTCATTTAACCCTGGGGTGAGGCTCAACAAGGCAACCAGAAGAGGAAATGCCTGCTATCTTGAAGCCCAGGACCCGAGGTGCCCAAGGGGAGCCTAGAACCTTCCCAGGTCACACCGAGGCTTCTTCCCAATGAGCCCCAACACCCACCTCACAGAAAGCACCAGACACTGTTGTTTACTCTTACATTATGAATATTTATTTTTTTCTTCTTAAAAATGTACAAAAAATAAAATAACTGTATTTATAGTTTATAGATTCCCCTTCTCCCATTTACAAAACTATTAAGTTACATTTGCCTTTTTTTTTTAAACAAGAGCAAATTGTCCATCTATCAATCTTCCTTGCTTATCTTTAAGAAAGGGCCGCTCATAGAATTTGGCACAAACCCTCTGTTTCTCTTGCATTTTCATAATTTTAAATAAGAAGGAAAAATAAATGTTTGATTAATTTCAGCCTTCCTAAGTTTCTGGGCTGGAATGCGCCTTAGTTTTTAGGATCCAATTCCAAGATGACATCTGACTACATTTTTCTGTTAGTCCCAATTTCCAAACACCCGTAAAGTCTAAGCAATTTGGGTATGTATAAGAAAAACACTTGTTTCATGTGTCCGTCATCTTACATGGGCTTTAAAAAAAAAAAAGCGTATTCATTTGAGTGTGATTAATTTAAGGGACAAAAAAAAGAGGAGGCAAGTTTTCCTATCTTTCTGGAGTGTTTTTGCTTGGCAAATTTTGCTCATCAATGCTCTGCTAACATACACAGTGAAGGACACTTCAAAGCTAAGCCATGGGCACTCTGAGAATGCAGAGGGGATGTGGTAAAGATGAGACAGATCAGATGGGAGTGACACTCGGCACCACTCTTTGGTGGCACTGACCTCATATTCTTTGTTCTGGCAGCGGTCACCACAATGATTGCTCAGGGACCAGAAACAAATGCAAAAGCATCTCTGATTCATCCTCTGCTGAGGGCAGGCCCAGCACACACTTTTCCACAGAGGCTAGAGAGAGAAGGGTAGGGAACCTGTGT